ATCCAGGGCTGAGGCAGTGTCATGACAGGCAGGACACACAGGATGTACTATACCCAAGCGTACACATGGTCCCCCTGCAAACTTAGAGTGTACCATAGTTTGGGCAACACAAGAGGGTATACCTAAGTCAGGCAGCACAGCTTAAGGGGGCCACAGTGCGGCCTCCCACTGTAGCACCTGTACGGGTTTTCCAGTACGGGCTATATAATCCAGTTCCATCCTTGGTTTCCCTTGCAGACAATTTGGCTTGTGCATGGCAGGTGCACAGGACACCTGGAGGTGCTCTGTGGGGAACATGGAGAAGGTGGGGCCACCCCCTCTGTCCCCTAGTCAGTGGGGTCAGGTACGGTCTCAGGCATGGCCATCAGTTTGGATACACAAAACTTGCAGAAGCTTGCAAAGGCGGCAGCAGGGGGTGTTTTCCTTCGGCAAGAGGAGAAAGCTTTCAGGATCAGTTCTGAAACACCAAGGTCGCAATGCCTTCTCCTGCACCTCTCCAGATGTCTCATTCTCTTTTTCCTCCATCCCTATAAGATCAGCATGGCCCACTGAACAATAAAAGCTTTACAGATTGCTTCAATCATCTCTTACCCTCCCCCTGAGCTTCTTGCCTGGCAGGGCTATGTGAGAGAGAGAGAGAGATGAAAAACACAGTCCCACAGCCTCATGAGAACAGAAAGACTCGTCATGTTTAGGAAGCAGTCAGGAAGAAATCCTGCATTTCCAAGGGATTCCGAAATGGCTTTACCCCTTTCCATCCTGTGCATTTATGCGGTGAGGAGTGTAGAACAACAATTTAAAAACAGATGGCTGTGTACAGTAAGTGACGCAGTCCGCAGAGCACTTAGCACAGCGGCTTGACTATGAGCTGTCCAGGTCACTGGCATTTTGAACAAAGAATTGAACAAAATGTACAAAGTAGCAGAGTAATGAAATGCAGGAACAAAGCAGTGACACAGGAATTTATTAAAATGAGAAAGCTCTCCACAGAGTGGGAGTGGGACTGAGCAAGCGGCTCAGGGGCTCGGTTACGAAGTTTTCTTTTCTCAAACCCCCACTTGAGGTTCTTAATGGCCACCCCTTATCTGGATGAAGGATTTTTGTCTGTGGCTAATTAAAGGCTGAGGTGAATTGGCACCCCATGCAGATGAGGGGATGGTCCCTGCTTGGCCCATGGCCAATCCTAGGCACCCTCCCTTTCCACCTGAGATGTGGTGGAAGGGGGATGTGTGTAGGGAGAGTAGCCTCTGATCCTTTGTTACTCAGCCTGGAGAGATGGGGTTTTTGCCTTTTGGTTTAGCTTCAGGAAGTTTGCGTTAATTGGCCTTAGGTTTCCTGCCCCCAGACCCACATGTTTTCCTTTCCATCCAGCTTTGGGAAGTCAGAGTGAATCGACCTTAGATTTCCTGCCCCCAGACCTTGGTGTTTTCTCTTTTAGGAAGTTAGCACAGATTGGCCTACAGTCCCCTGTCTCCAGACCCTCTTCTCCTGTCTCAGTAGGAGCTCACAATAATTGTCCTGTCATCACTGTTCTAGTGTAGAGAAACGTCCAAGGATACTAAACCCCACTGAGCTCCTGGTGACACAGAACTTTCTTCATCCAACATGTATGTATTGAGGGCCACATCAGCACTGTGGTCTCAGCCATCCTCACAGGCCTCTTAGTCCAGAGCGGACACAGCCCATCAACATGCCCAACCTCACAGGAGCTCCGGATCCACCCAACCAATGGTGGAGAGCTGTGGTGGGCCAGTCCCTAGGAATAAGTCGTGCCAGCTGGCCTCATGGGGTGACCTGACCCCTGACAAGCTGAGTGGCTTCTGGGTTGAAAAGGGTGTTCCCATGGGAGAGGCAGCACAAGCACCCACACCAGCAAGGAAGTTCACAGTGTGCTCAGAAAACAGCACCAGAGGGAACCAGAGGTTGAGAGCTGTCTTACCCAGGACCCAGCATCAAGCAAATGCTGAGTGAAGGAGGGTTAGGCATGGCGGATGCCTGAGTGTGCAAGAAAGAGGGCCCAGTGGCTAATGAGGCTGGGAGAGGAAGGCCTTGGAGGAGTGAGGGGTTGGTGCTTACACAACTGACAAGTTCTGAGCCACAGTTTAGAAAGACTCCTCTGGGGCCTAGGAAGTAACGCCACACAACTACACCCATCTGAACTTTGACTGCCCTGAGAAAAACGAGCAATGGGGAAAGGATTCCCTATTCAACAAACGGTGTTGGGAAAACTGGCTAGCCATATGCAGAAAGCTGAAACTGGGCCACTTCCTTACACCTTATACAAAAATTAACTCCAGATGGATTAAAGATTTAAACGTTAAGACCTAACACCATGAAAACCCTAGAAGAAAACCTAGGCAATACCATTCAGGACACAGGCATGGGCAAGGACTTCATGACTAAAACACCAAAAGCAATGCCAACAAAAGCCAAAATAGACAAATGGGATCTAACTAAACTTAAGAGCTTCTGCACAGCAAAAGAAATTATCATTACAGTGAACCAGCAACCAACAGAATGGGCAAAAAATTTTTGCAATCTACCCATCCGACAAAGGGCTAATACCCAGAATCTATAAAACTTAAACAAATTTACAAGAAAAAAACAAACAACCCCATCAAAAAGTGGGTGAAGGATATGAACAGACACTTTTCAAAAGAATACATTTATGCAGCCAACAAACATATGAAAAAAAGGTCATCATTGCTGGTCATTAGAGAAATGCAAATCAAAACCACACTGAGATACCGTATCGCGCCAGTTAGAATGGCAATCATTTAAAATCTGGAGACAACAGATGCTGGAGAGGATGTGGAGAAATAGGAACACTTTTACACTGTTGGTGGGAGTGTAAATTAGTTCAACCATTGTGGAAGACTTGTGGTGATTCCTCAAGGAATAGAAATTCCATTACTGGGTATATACCGAAAGTATTATAAATTGTTCTATTATAAAGACACATGCACACGTATGTTCACTGCGGCACTAGTCACAATAGCAAATACTTGGAACCAACCCAAATGCCCATCAATGATAGACTGGATAAAGAAAATGCGGCACATATACACCATGGAATACTATGCAGCCATAAAGAAGAGTGAGTTCATGTTCTTTGCAGGGACATGGATGTAGCTGGAAACCATCATTCTCAGCAAACTGACACAAGAAGAGAAAACCAAACACTACATGTTCTCACTCATGAGTCGGTGTTGAACAATCAGAATACGTGGACGCGGGGAGGGGAACTTTACACACCAAGGCCTGTTTGGGGGTGGGGGGGGTAGGGGAGGGATAGCAGGGGGTGGGGGGATTGGGGAGGGATAACATTAGGAGAGATACCTAATGTAGATGACAGGGGGATGGATACAGCAAACCGCCATGGCATGTGTAGAGCTTTGTAACAATCCTGCACAATCTGCACACGTATCCCAGAACTTAAAGCGGAAAAAAAAAAAAAGAAGAAGAAGAAAAGAAAGACTCCTCTGGAGTAGGATGAACCAACTGCAGGGACACATCCTAGAGCCTAGGAGAGATCAGCAAGGAAGAAGCTCCTGAAAGGCCAGGGGTACGATGAGGAAGGGCCTGGGGGATCATGTGACAGGCAAGGCCTACATAGCGAGTCTTGCCCTGCGGCTGGCCTCATGCCCTGGGGCCCCAATGTCAAGAGCTCAGCGCTGCTCTAGATCACTGCACAGTTACAAAGAAGCTTCAGCAAGTCAGCCAGCACTGAGACTGCTTTCCACAGGGCCACTGCTCCTCATACCCTAGTCAGCTGTGCTCTGCTTGGGTCGTCTGACCATGATCATTTCATTCATAAAGCAGCAATGCGGGGTCCATCTCAGGGGCCTCTGCAGCAAGGAAGGGAAGACCAACCATCTTCCTCAAAGGGGCTTGCAGGTGGCAGGTGACTCATAGAGACTGTCTGAATGATTGCTGAAGGTTGCAAAGCTGAACTTTGAGGACTGAGCAGGCTCAGCCAGTGGCCAGCCTTCCCATGACTCTTCTTGACTAGATTTAAGTCAGTACCCTAAATATTCCCTCCAGGGGATAAGAGCAGCTTGATGTCTTAGACTTGTAATCCCAGTGGACATTCTGTGACTTAAAACCAAGGAGCATGGTGGGTAATGGTCCTACAGAAGCCACATGACACAGCGTGACTAAATCAAATCAATACCAGCTCTTGGCTGAGTGCTACCGTGCAGTTTCCCTAGTGATTTTCTTCATGATTGTTCCCCTCCCACCTAATGGCCAAAGGCTCTTATAAAAGTAATCAGCAGGGTTCATGAGGTCACAAAAGCCACAACTAAGTATCACTTGCAGTGTTAAGAACTCCCCTATGAAAAAGCACTCTGGTATGTAAATGAAAGATGCCAGCTGTGTAACTGAATACTCAAGGATCCTCCTTTAGAGATGTCACCAGTATTTTAATATTTAGCCTTAGAGTATGTGTACCTAGCGGTTACATTGAGTCCTTGAACAAAACCTTTGTAACGCTGTTTAAGAAGCATGATGACCACGATCCAAACCTGCCTCCATCCACGTGGGGCGCTATGAAAAATTAGCCCTGAGATTAAAAGGCACCTTGGGAGAGACTCCTCCCAGCCTCTTCGCACCCAGGGCTGACCCCGAGTGGGCAAAGGGTGCTACTCAATGGGACAAGGGCCCAGGGTCCTTTCAGCCTGGGGCCTTTCCACTGTATCACCCTGTCTCCCTGTACAGAGTGAGTATTAAGAACAAAGTTGTCTTGAATGGCTAGAGAAGGCGTATCAACCAAAAGACTGTCGTATCCTCTCACCTGATGTTGAAGATGACTTTCGTTTAGCTTTTCTCCTTCCTCCTGCCCACCCCAACACACACTCCATATTCTCATCTATTTTCAAATACACAATGATGGCACTTTTGTGCTGGATTACTTTAATCAGGTCTAACTAAACAAGTAGGAACTTTTCTTAGGATCGTCTGTGTACAGCGGGCCTCAGAAATGAGCATGTCTTGGGCAATGATAACAGTATTTATTTATGAGCAAAAATAGAAACTAAAGGTAATCTCCTGTTGTGATCTGAGAGAGAGAGAGAGAGAGAGAGAGAGAGAGATGCAGGGGCAAGCAGAGCTCCACAGGAGGCTCCAAAGCATAGCTGAGGATGTGGCCATCCAACCACAAATGGTGCTCTGGGTAACACCATGGTAGAGGAGTGAGAGGAGTGCTCCCACCATACTTAAGCACGGCACCCCTCTGGGGACAACTCCATCAAGTGGAATGAGAAACACTTTATCTGGGCCCACCGGCGCAGATCCAACCAATCATTAGGAGTACCTGGAAGAGACTAAGCAGGAAGGAGATGGGGGGGATTGTAAAAGAGGGGTGCTAGTAACACAGACCAGGCCAAACAGCCTGGTAGGGACCACCATCTCCTAGAAGGCAGTCACCCGTGCGGGGCCCATCTGACTCAGGCAGTCTTGGTGAAACCCAAGCTAGGGCTGACTAGGGGCCGACTCTTGAGCAAATCAGAGGCTAGCAAAAGGCCTCCCCTGTCTTCAGGGGTGGGAATGGCCATAGAGTCATGGTTCCTCAGCTCATCTGGGGCCTGGCCCTATGATGCAGTGTGCCTGTCAGAAGATGGGAGACTCTCTGGGAGCTTAAACCAGGCCTGTTGGAGACACTTTTAGAAAAGGGAGAAGCTGAAAGCTACGCTACCTGTTTCCTCCCCCAACATCTGGCCAGGGCCCCCTCTCCAGATTAGCTGAGAGCCACCTTTGTGACATCATGTGAAAAATAAAGCAGATGATGACTTAAGCAGCTGGTTGCCCTGATACCGAGACTCTAGAATTTTGTGGACAGTATTTATTGGGCACCCTCACTCCCACTGAAGGCATTTTGGACTTGCTAGGACAGTGATAAGGGTCTTGGGTACCAAATGCTCCCGATTCTGGTGTAGCTCCATGGCGAGTCAGAATACTCAACAGGAATATGAAGCCAAGCTGGCCCCATCTGTTGGTGGAGAACCAACAAGTGGGGGCCCATCTAGTTCATCACCTGATCCAAATCTGGATTCCAGGGAGGTTTTGGACAGGCACGACGACCAAGCCGTGAGCCAAGACTCAGGTTCCCAAGATAACCCACCGTCAGATGACCAAAACCAACGCGTGGCCAGCATGGAAGACAACCGCAACCTTTTTAGCCTTTCCTTCCCAAGAAAGCTCTGGATGATGGTGGAGGAAGACACATTCCAGTCTTTGAGCTGGAACCATGATGGAGATGCTATGATCATCGAGAAGGATCTCTTCCAGAGGGAGATTCTTCAACGGAGAGGCGCAGAGAAGATCTTCAAAACAGAGAGCTTGAAGAGTTTCATTCGCCAAATACACCTCTATGGATTCCGTAAAATACGCCCAAGCACCTCGCCAAGAGACAACAATATGATGGTAAAGTAGAAAGCATTTCTGTAATCCCTTGCCTTTGTTTCCCAAACATCTTCATAGGACACCAGTACAAATTATATACTGTAAAAGAGTTAACTGTCAAAGATAACTTTTTTATATGTGAGGAATTTGTTTATCGAAAGATGCAAACTATACAATTTTAAAAGTATGAATTTTGACATTAAACTACAATTCCCTGAAAGATAATATAAAGGAACATATTATCCAGACCTGCATATTACCTCTAAGGGGGTTGCAGTTTAATATCTAGATTCATACTATTTATACATTACCACCTTGACCCATGAATTGTTTATCTCTAGTCAGGTCATGCTGTAGGGCATACCACACTTGCTGCCACTTAAAGCATTCTTTTCTCCACGGCAAAACAAGATCATAATTTTGGGAGGTAGGAAAGGAATAATTTATCCTGGAACAACTAACATACTTCATTTTGTTTCAGATCTACCACAACTCCAATTTTCAGAGAGGCAAGCCGTGGCTCCTGGAGAACATCCGGAGAAAAGGTAACCTCCGAAAAGCCACTCAGCAAGCGACCCACGTCCCAGCTGCAAAGAGGCTGAAGCTGGTAGCCATAGGACACCCCCTACATATCCATCACAGCGATGCCAAGGATGCAGCCATCAGAATGTCCCAGGGGGGAAGCCCCAATGTTCAGGGACCCAGTGGCACCCAGTCCTTCACATACGCTGGTATGTGGCCCAAGAACACCATCACTGGGCATCCCCCGGGATCTGGGCCCCCTCAGGAACCAAATGACCCAAATTGGGAGGGCACCTCTGAAAATGTCATACGTGCATCTTCGGCTACTATCTGGATGAAAAGCACAAGGAAAGTGCCTCGTAGCCTGGTTTACCCAGATAACAGTAGTGTAATATTTTTGTACAGTGACTGCCACTCCATTCTGTCGGCCTCCCTCTTGCCCATGACTCCAAACGAGCCCCCCGACGATGAGGAGGAGCAGAAAGGCTCCTCAGGCTGCAACTGTCCACTCTGTGAACAGTTCAGAAACAATCCAAATCCATGAATTCACAGGCCACTAATGCCCAATAAAGGTTGCCATTTTCCAATGAGAAACACATTTTTGGTCTTAATAAACAAGATTCCATGGAAATAATAAATAATAAACAATTTAAATGAGAACTGTTGTCTGTGCTCTTTCTAACCTTCTATACTGTACGCATCTCATTGGCACAAGCCAGAAGAGGCTGAAAATTCTGTCCAAGACAGGCTTTGGTCCCCACATTTGGAGAAGCAGCATTTTCACACACCCAGCAAAGGATGTTGCTAGGAAGCGTCAAGGCCAAGCCCAAGAAGACTGGCTCCCCTGAGATCTGCCTGCTGCTCAGGGGGAAGAACAGCCCCACTCCTGATCCTGGCAGTATCTTTAAACGGGAGAGTCTTCCCCATGGGTCCCTCCCAATGTTGCCAGGAAGTGTCTGACCAGCAGGTCAGCATCCCTAGCCTAGCCTACTGGGGCCCCCTGAGTCAGGCCACCCCATTTTGTCAAGGGATTTATGACCACTGTAACATCCTGGCTCGCAAGAGAAGGGCCACCGCTCGGATATGAAGTAGCTGTGTGATGCAGATGACACACATGCTTCAGAAACTGACAGACACTTTCACAAGAGAGTGAGAGTAACCTGAAAGGGCAGACAGCTGCTCTTGTCTGACGTCCTCTCCATCCTGGATGAGTCAGTCCATTAATGGCTGCTCACTACCAGGCAAACATTCACCGCCAGGTCCGACTTTCTGTAGTGTCGCTTGGATGCTAGGTTTGATGAGTTTTGACCGGAACAAAGACGGGGAAAACATAGAATGGAGCCTCATAACCAGTCATCTACAACACATTTATTTGTATAATCCAGGAATTAGCAGGACCAAAACTGTAGCCATGCCGAGACATTTACTGGCAGCTTTTCCTTCTACCCAAAGGACAAAGTACTTGAGACACTGCCTGTGTGCCTAAAGAGGCATCACACAAGGAAAGCCTCACCCCCTACTTCCTTCCTCTGAGCAAAGAAACCTGTTTCCATGCACAGTGCTTAGTGGCTGGGGCTCTCCAAAGCAGGGGAAATTCAGATCTAGCCTAATGTATGTAGGTCTGCAACATGATGGTGAATTGAAAGCAGCTAAATGATTTAGCTGGAGCTGGTTTCAACTGACGGTGAACTGAAATCATGATTTAGCTGGGTTCCCTGCAACACTCCTCTCAGGAGCCCACACTTGTCACACCTCATGCCCCAAAGGGATCAGGTGCTCTGGGATGTCTACCTGGAATACCTCCTTGCCTCCTTTCCTAGGTATGGGCTCCAGTAGCCACCTGGGGTTTGAAATCACAGTCAGGTACTTCTGCTTCAGGCCGGTCAGTAGCGCTTGATTTTCTAGTCCCACAACCTCATCAGGAGTTAGGTCTTCGGGACACTGCAAAGTTTCCCCAATGTCAACGAGTCCTGTACACAGAGAGAGACACACATGAATGCTTTGCACTTCCATAGCCCAAGGCCTGCCTGTGTGACAACACAGTTACTCAAAGTCACAACCAATAGAAAGTAAGACGGCATCAGCAAAATGACAAGACGGGGGTCGAGTCTTTTTCCCACAGCTTTGATAACCAACCAAACTCGATTCAGCGAATGCTGGGAAAGGCAGTGGGGAGGGCTCCAGAAAGGCAGAGGAGAGGGTCTTGTCCTCAGCGAAGCCACACAAGTAAGAGGCGGGTCCAAGCCAGACTGCTGAGGGCAGCCGTTGCAGATTGGAAGGGCACCAGCTACCGCCTAGGAACCTACAGGTGATGCCTACACAGGTCATCAGGGGACACGTGCCGATGTCAGAACTCAATCACTCAGAGGTTAGGGGACTCGCCCAGGGTGCCATGAGCGATGGGGCTGGGGCAGGCTTGTGAAGCCAGGCAGATAGCCCAACTCTAGAGGCCACCTGACCCATTCGGCTGGCTGAGCTGCTTCTCTTGGTCTCTGGCAGACATGTGCAACCCACACGCACGTACACACACACACACACACACACACCCCAAACACCACATGCACCATGTGCACAGGGACCTGACCCGGCTTCTCACTGAGATCACAAACGGGAACTGAGGCCCAGAGTGGAGAAACAACTCAGCAGAGCATGCGGAAGCTAGGCCTGCAAACCCCCAGCCCAGGGCCCTTGCCGCCCATTTGGAGGTTTGTCATCAAAGGAAACTGTGGTGTGTACATGCCAATCAGTTCAGACGACAACAGAAGGCCCCACACTCCCAAGCAAGATCTCGGGTGGCAGCTCCAGGAGTTGCCTGCACATTTGGCACATCGTCACTTACCCGCTATGACTCCTCGACCAAACGTTTCCCCTTCTCGGAGCAATGCCTGAATCTGAGCAGGCGTCATTCCGAGCCTCTCCACCAGCAGCTCCCGCCAGGCATCACCTTCCCAGTCCCTGTGAGCAATGTGGATGGCGATGGTACAGTTCCGGTAGCTGCTAAGCAGGGGGCGCCAGCGCGTCTCCACAGTCTTGACTCCATTCAAGACAAAGCCAGCATAAGGTTGCCGGAAGGAGAGGCAGCCAAACTTCATCTTCGCAAGCTCCCGGGGCCTCCCGTGGCCTGCGGAAACACAGAAGCGCATCACACGCCAGCCCTCCAAGCTCACTGGCAGTGGTCCTGACCTTTCCCCCGTGTCTCCCAGGTCCCTTAAATCCCACTGACCTTGATGGTCCACTGCTTCCGTGTGTCACAACGCAGTCACTGATGTCCAGTGCCACGGCAGGCCCTAGAAGAGGGGTTGGGACTCGGCTGACTCAGATCCATCTCATGGAGTCTTTGGGGAGGTCTGGAGTAGGGCAGGGCAGCTAGAGGAAGGCACAGGCCAGATAGCGCATGGTTGGTGCGATGACAGAGGTCACCAAGCCCTAGGGAACACAGAGGACAGAGGGCCCCCTCGGCCTAGACAGAGTGGAGAGGCGGGGCTTGTGCTAGCCGTCTTCCAGCACAGAAGGGCAGTCCCAGGCTCCGCTTCTCTTCTGTTCCCCCTACTCTGCCCCGCCAGTACTCTCAGTGCCCTGGCCTTGCTGCCACCAAGGCACTGACCTTCCCGGCTCCTACTGCAGGGCTGCTGAGCCCACATCGTTGATATCCAATCTCAGCTCTGCTCTCAGGATGCACCATGACCTCAGACGGTCCTCAGTCAGACATCTCCTCCCCACCCCTCTGGGTGCCACCTTCCTCAAGCCCTTTCCCTGACCACTGCACTCCATGTCAGCAGACACCCCTGTCCCCGATCCGAGCTGAATAAAGAATGAGAATCAGAACAACTGCCACCCCCCCCACACACACACACACATGGCTTCCACATGCCACCCTCTGGGATGGCATGATCCTTGGATCACCAAATTTAATCCTCAAGTAACCCAGCAGGGTCAGTGCTACTGTGAGGCCCAGTCTATGGCTCAGGAGAATGAGGCGCCGGCCCACAGTCACATGCGCTCTGACTTCTCACGCCTCTTGCCTGGGTCCCTGCCTTCTGTGTGTGTACCTTGGGAGAGGGTCCCCTCCTCCTGCATGGAGTACCGCCCTGTGCTTCAGAAGGAGCCATGGGCTGGAAGCCAGAACATCAGCCCAGTCATAGCCTCTTGAGATGCCTCAGAGGCTTCCCGCCCCAGCCATGTCCTCTCCTCTCCCCTGTATTCACCACCCTGCAGCCGCTCAGGCCTTCCATCCCCTGAGGGAACATGCCAAGCTTGTTTCTACCTCAGGGCTTTTCTCGTTGTGATGGGTTGCATTGTGTTCTCCTAAAACCCATATGTCCTAAACCCCGCACCTCAGAATGTGGCCTTATACATAAGGACAGAGTCATTACTGAGGTGATCAAGCAGAACTGAAGTCATTAGGGTTGACCCACATGCCACGTGGCTGGCGTCCTTATGAAAAGGGGGATGTCAGAGACAGTGATGCACACAGGGAGAACGCCATGAGGAAACACAGGCAGAGACAAGGGAGATGTTTCTATGAGCCAAGGGGTGCCGCCCAGCTAACCAAAGCTAAGACAGAGGGACAGACCAGATCGTCTTTCACAGCCCACAGAACAACGAACCCGGCCAGCACCTGGATTTAAGACTCCCATCCTCCAGAACTGCGAGACAACGAATGTCTGGAGTTTAAGCCAGCCCCTTTATGGTCTTTTGCTTCATCCATCTTGGCAAACTGCTGTTCCCGACACATCTCCGCAGGATAGGGCATGACTCCTCCATTTAACAGCACATCAAGCCCAATCTTTCCATCTGCCCATCTTCATCTACCTTGTTTTTCACTGCCTGTGTGATATCCCATTGTTGGTCGTCCCATAATTTGCCTGACCATTCTCCACCGATGGAGAGTTACAAGCTGCTTCCCACTTCTGCCACTAGAAATGACATTTCCGCTAACACTCGCCGTGTGAAGAGCTGCTGAAGAGAATGCCTCGGCCGCCTGGCACGCCCATCTAAGATGCTGATATCTGCCAGCAAATGGCCTTCCAGGAATACTCACCCGTGTACACTCCACCAACCCATCCATGGTGCCATTTTCCTCACACACTTGTGGCTCTGAGCCTCATTATTCTGCTGATGGGTGACAAAATATCACCAGGTTCCTTGGTTCTGGATTACTTCTGATGGAGGCTGAATGTCCCCCACGGGGCCTGGCCACACCCACTGGTATATGTGGCTACAGCGAACATTTGCCTCTTTTCCACAGCTCAGTTTCTTAGCCAACCCTTTTCTGGTCACCACCACAAAATCACAACAAATGTGAACTGGGTGTGTGTGGAATCCCTAGTAAGAACTCATGTAACTGGAAAGGCAAGAAGGGGGTGGAGTCCCCTCCTACCTGGTGCTGCAGAGAGTACCTGCCTTGCGGCCTGAAGAGGAAACACTCTTCCACGTAGCTTCTTTACCTGCACAACAAGGAAGATAAGGAGGAAAGGTCATTAAGAGCAAAACAGCAAGCCTGGTTAATGGCCCTAGGAAGGTCATCTACTTAGTAGAAGGCGTTGGAAACCAAGAAGAGCTGGGAGGGCCGGTCTTATGAGTAACACACCTGTGCACCCCACTCAGTTTGGTTCTGCTAATCACAGCAGTGGGACCCTCGGCACCTGTCTAGGTCAAGGACCACAGAGTGCACCGGCCCGCAGGGCAGAACATCATTTCAGTAAGTTGAGTCGCATTCCTACAACTGAGCACGCTCCACCCTAGGGGAGAAAAATGCCACGTCCCCTCGCATTGTCAGTGGGCGAGGGTTTGGGGGTTCTACATCCCATTCCCCTCAGCTTAATTCTGGGTAGGTCACGCTAAGCACGATGCCACAGGCCACAGAGCTGTGCACTGCCTGGCCTCGGGTCCAGGCAAGCGCACAGCAGAGGGCGCAAGCTAGAGGCAGGGAAAACCGGGCCAAGATGGGGTCGGTGTGTGTGGAGCAGCACAGGACTTTACTTTCTTGAACACACAGTTTCGCTCTTGTTGTCCAGGCTGGAGTGCAATGGTACGATCTCGGCTCACCGAAATCTCTGCCTCCCGGTTCAAGCGATTCTCCTGCCTCAGCCTCTGGAGTAGCTGGGATTACAGGCATGATCCACCACGCCCGGCTAAAATTGTTGTATTTTTAGTAGAGACGGGGGGGTTTCTCCATGTTGGTCAGGCTGGTCTAGAACTCCCGATCATCGGCCCACCTCGGCCTCCCAAAGTGTTGCGATTACAGGCGTGAGCCACGGGATCGGATTTCTACTCGCAGACGCATTTCGCGAGTAGACACGCTTAGAAGGAGCGGGGCTGAGACCCTGGCGAGAGCAGGGAACAGGAAAGGGTGCCTTGGGCGCGCCCCACACGGGTTCTCAAACAAACATCCAGAGAAACCCCAGCCCTCAGGTGCTGTCCGCAAGAGGGCGGAGCACACGGGCTCCCGTACCTTTCAGCCGCGGCCGGTGTTATGGCCTCCGGACCCTGAGAGTCGTCGCGTCCAGGGCCGACTCTGGCTTTTGGTAACAGAAGAACAGTCCTCCGCCTCCCCGCGACCCAGCGAGGTCACCGGAGCCAGGACGACGGGCTCGCAAGCGACGTGGGCCGCGGTGAGAACAAAGGGCTCCGGGCTCCTGTCGGGGCTGCAAGGTCGCTCGCTGCCACTGACTCCGGGAAACCGGGGGTTAGTGACAGGTGCTAACAGTCCGTAACTCTTCCGCTTTCATGCAGCTCCCGTCATCCCTTTCACGAAGAACGTACGGGGGCGCGTAATCACGCACGTACGTACATCACGCACTTACGCAAGAGGCACGTACTCAGCCTTGCATATAGACAGCCAAGTCTTTAGAAATCCACTCTCCATGAAGCCACGCGTGACGTCATCACGCACTTACGCACGCACTAGCCGCCAGGAGACGCTGTTCAGTTTACGGGTCCTGACGCCCGCTAGCCCACCAGGCCAGCAGGGGAGCTGGAGACCGGCAGCCTGGACAAACGACCGGAAGGAGGAAAAGGAACCGGAGGGAGGAAAAAGAAGAGGGGCGGGACAAGGCCATCAGGCAGGAGTTTTAAGCTCAGAGCTGCGACACCAGCAGGTAGGAGCTGGGAGAAACCACGGGGGAGGGTCGGGGGCTCGGGGCTGACAGGAGGAGGGCGGAGCTGGGGAGGGGAAGGGAGGGACTGAGATAATCGCTGGGGCGGGGTTGGGGGGGCTGGGCGAAACCATTGTGGGTGGGGTCGTGGGGGAATCTGAGCGAGGCTGCAGGAGGTGCTTGCGGACTCCTGAGAACCGGCGCGGGGAGGGAGGAGGCCGCTGAGAGGAGGAGGGTGGGGCTGAAAGAAATCGCTGGGGAGGGGCTGGGGGACGGGTCTTTGGAAGCAGAGGCAAGAGAAGCACGGCGGGGCTCGGGGTGGGGAGGGGCGGGGCGGGGCTCAGAGAAACCGCTGGGGAGGGGTTGGGGGTGGGGTTTTGGTAGCACCCACAGGAGAAGCAGGGCGGGGCTGGGAAGAGGCGGGGCTCGGTGAGGGGCGGGGTCGAGAAACTGCGGGGGAGGGGCCTGGGGGCGGGGACTTGGGCGGAGCCACCGGAGGAAAGCAGGGCGGAGCTGGGGCGGGGAAGGGCGGGGCGAGAGCAACTCCGGGGGCGGGGCATTGGACGCAGCCACAGAAGCAGGGCGGTGCTTCGGGAGGGGAGGGGCTGAGAGAAACCGCTGGGGAGGGGGATGGGGGCGGGGCTTTGGAAACCCACAGGAGAGGCAAGGTGGGGCTGGGGGAGAGGCGGGAATCGGGGCGGTGCTGAGAAACCGCTGGGGAGGGAGTGGCGGCGGGGCTTTGGGAGGAGCAGGGTGGGGCTAGGGGAGGGGTGGGGCGGGGCTGAGAGAAACCGCTGGGGAGCGGGCTGGGGGCGGGGTCTTGGAAGCGGCCGCAGGAGGAGTAGGGCGGGGCTGGGGGAGAGACATCTCTGGGTCGGGGCTGGAGCGGGGCTTTTGAAGCAGCCCTGAGAGGAACAGGGCGGGCCTCGGGACGGGGCGGAGCCGAGAGAGACCACTGGGGAGGTGCTGGGGGCGGGGCTTTGAAATCTGGCGGGAGAAGCAGGGCGAGGCTGTGGAAGAGCTGAGCGACAAGCAGCTGCGGGAGCACCCCGCGGATTCCTGAGAACCAGCCTGGGGGAGCGAGGGCTGGGGAGGTGCAGGGTGGTGTCATGAGAAAGCTCTGTAGGAGGAGGGCCTGGTGCATAGCTCAGCTGCAGGGTGGAGCGGAGGGAAAGCCTGGAGGTTCCGGAGGAGGAGCTGGGCGGGGCTGTGGCAAAGCGCTGTGGGAGATGGGGCGGGGCTGCGGGAATGAGCTGGGGAAGGAGGAGCCAAGCTAGAGCAAGGCTGGTGTGTGAGCCCTGTTGGGGAGCAGCTAGTGCAGAGCTGGAGGAAAGCTGAAAGATGCTGGGGTGGGCAGAGGGGTAGGAGAACCAGGAAGGGGCCAGAGGAGTTGGAGCTGGGAGTGGAGATGCATGGGGAGTAGGATGGGCTGTGGGAAAAAGCTGGGAGGAAGCAGATGAGGGTGGAGCTGCAGCAGGAACTGTGTCAGAGATTCTGGAGGAGCCGCCTGCAACAGGAGGACGTAGCTGTGGGCAGAACTGGGTAGTGCTGGGAGGAGGAGGAGTTGGGGGCAGAGCTGCGGGAGAAGGAGCTAGGAGTCGGAACTGGTAGGGTGGAGCTGCGGGAAAAGCAGCTTGGGCGGAGTTGCAGGAGGAAGAGCTGATGGCGGAGATGCTGGTGGAGCGGAGCAGAACTGGGGTGAAGCTGTGGGCAGAGCTGTGGGAGAAGGCAGGCTGTGCAGCCTGAGAAGCAGGATGGAGCTGGAGGAGGGAGCTGAGGCACTTCTGTGCTGCACCCTTAGGCAAGAGTCTAAACTTGCCCCCAGCGACCTAACTGCACTCTCAGAGTCTACCTCCCGAGGGCATGGAAGCAGCAAGAAGGGCGGGAACACTTGTCTGAGGTCCCCGCAGCTCTAGGCTGAGTCTTGCAGGACTGAGCACCCCCAGGCCTGCTTTCCTGTGTCCCAGCGGCTCTGTCAGTGCCTGCCAATGGGGTCTGGAGGGACCGTCTTTTTAAGGCCTCTTTTGCAGGTGACGAGAAGCATCCCCACTCTTAATGTCCTGCCGCCCCTCCGACCTAAGTCGCCCAACACACAGCCCAACTTCCCTGGCGAACTTGCTTTTCAAACTCTTCTCCATCTCAGTCCGGGCTCAGGTCCCGCAGCGCCGCCGTGCTGTGCTCCTCTGTCCCTCCGCTTACCCAGTCCCCCACGTTGACTTCATCACCGAGTTCCAGGTCCGTGCCTCTCCAGTGCCTGACGAGACCAAACTGCTCCTCTTCCTGCATCCCCGCTGCTACTTCCTGAGTTCAGGCGTCGTGGTCTGGAGCCTGCGCTATTCCATGAGCCTCCTGACCAACCTGGAGGCCTCTGTCTTTCCTCCCTTCAGTCTGTCCTCCACACTCTTTCAGTTTAGTTTCTAAGTCACAAATCTGTCCCTAGCAATCCTCTAGTGAAAACCCTGCCGGGCCTTCTCAGGCTGAAGTCCTAGCAGCTCAGGGAGTCGGCCCAGCTCTCTCCACCCTTAAGCCGAACACGCCCTGGGTTCACGCTGTGCAGTGTAGTCACAGGTCGCCAGCAGCCTGCTGCCCCAGGTCTCCCTGCTTTGCAGCGGTGGTTCCCATGGCCTTGTCCTGGCGCACTCCTGGCCTCCTTCAAGGCACAACTTTAATGTCACCTTCACAGTCCCACCGCAGTGTTAGGGGGTTTTGTCTCCAGTTCTGATAGCATTTTTAACCTCTCCCCTCCCCACCCCACATTAGGCTCTTGGAACCCAGGGTGGTAATTGCGCTATAAGAGTCTGTGGCTGCCGCATGTTCTCTGAGTTCCTTGAAGGCAAGGATGGTGTTTTACTCATTTCTGAAACTGGGTGCCCAGGACACAGTCTCTGCTTAGTAAGTGTTGAATCAGCAAAGGGCTGCTTTCTCGTCTTTTCTAGTGAGATGCACCTACTTCTCTTTGGGGAAACGTGAGGAAGCAGGAATGCTGGAGATGAGGTGAGGAGGAGAGGGTCTCTCTTTATGGGATGTAAGCCTCAGGGCGGCACGGGACCTTCAGATCACCAGTTCCAATTCCCATCCATGCTGGCATCCCCTCCTGGGCTCCTTCCCCAAAGAATGGTTGCCGACTTCTGCCGGACACCCCAGAACCTGCCGGGAGTGGTTTCACACCATGAGTGAGGATCCCCGGGATGGGGAGTTGCTGCTCTTCCTCCCGAGGCCTCTTGTTTGAAGAACTAGAACTCACCTAATGAGCTGGATACTCACATGTGGCTGCTGGCGGGGAGGCCCGTGGTGGCTACGTAAGGGCTCCGTTTTCCAGCTCTCCCAGCTGCCCCGCTCTCCTGGGTGTCCTGGGCAGTGGGGTTAGTGCGCACATTAGTGCACACTCTCCCTGGGCGGCAGCAAACAGCCGAGGTCTGATCTGTGGTCAGATGAGGAGAAGTCAAAGGAAAGCAGCTGCAGCGGTGAGTGGGCCTAGGAAGAATGGCATCACCAGGTCAGTAGGGATGGGGGTGGTGTTCGGCTACCCCCGAGAAGGGACCAGATGGCACCTGAGTCTTGATTTTCATTCCCAATAGCAAGTCAGCACCAAACCCGAAAACGCTCCGATTTCTGACCTCACTCCTCCCATTTACAATGTCCTGGCAGGAACAAGACTTTCCCCTCCCTCTCTGTTCATCTCTCAGCAGGTCAGGCCAGCCTTCGCCCGTCCTTCAGCCCAGACCCGTCCTGCTCCTGCCTTCCCCTGTGGGGCCCACAGTGGATGCTCTGGAGCCCTGGGCAGGCAACTGCGGGCATGTGGGGCCTTCTCGGGTTCCTTGCTGTGCTCCCATGAAACCGCTGTGCCTGGCTGCACCCCGCTAGCACACGCTCAGCTGACCCCATCTCCTGGGGCCAGGAGTGTTTCTCCTCCTCACGGTCTGCTTGCTTCTTCCAGCCTTGCTTGAATCCCCATCGTGCCACATGCCATGTCTCTTTTAGGAAGTCCTTGTGTTTTCCACAGATCTTGCTTTGCAGCTGATGGCACCCCATGCCAGCACCCCCACCCCAGCCTACTGCCTCCTTCCTGAAACCACAGCCCCGTCTCAGAGTCTTCCTTCCCTCTCATCCCTGGGAGCCTCCTGCAGAGCTCCCTGTCCATCTCGCTGGCCTTCTGAGCCTTGCCTCTGCATTTCTTACTCCTCTCCTCGCCTTACCCTGCCCCGCCCCACCTCTCCTCTCCACCGTTGTGGCAGGCTAGCCTCCCTGGCTACAGCTGTCCCTTGGAAATGTGCTGTCCCCTTCCCTCTCTGTGCTCAGCATCCCTGGGTGTTCAGTCCGTCTCTTCCGTCCATGTGCTTCCCTAGGGAAGCATTATTTTTTTCTCAGCATGATTTCTGTGGGACTCTTCCCATTTTCTGAGCCTGTCACCCGGTTCCTCTTCCCTTGCCTCCCTGCTGACACTTTCCAGAGTGCAGCCACCCTCTCCTCACTGTGCGGCTTCGAATCTGAGGCCCAGGAGGAAGTCACCTTCCTCCCAAGAGGGTTTGTGTGTGATCCTGCCTAGGGTTATGGGGCACGGCCAGTCTGGGACCGCTTTGACCCTAATTCATGGTTTCCCTTCAGATGCTTCTTGGTCAGCCTGCTTTCCTCATCTAGGAAATGGCTTTTACCCACTTTTCTATTGAGTGACTTGCCTTGTTGGTATGAAGCTGTAGAAGCTCTTTCTGAATTCTGCTGTAGGGCTGTGGAGGCCCCACAGGGTCGCGGGGTGTCCCTTATGCTGCGTTGAGGTGCAGGATCAGAGAAGTAAAGAGACAGGACACTGAAGAACCGGTGAAGAGCATCTGGACTCGGGGGGCCATGCCACCTGTGAGCGGAGATCAGCGACGGCCCCCAAAGGCCCAAGAGCATCTGTATTTATTAGGTACAAGCAGGGGCAGGGGCGTACGTGAGGTCATCATCTATAGGCTTAGTAATAGGGCATACATAATCACGTGAGTCACAAGCAAGGGGGCCACCCCATTATGTCACCTGGGCAGAGAGGTGGGCCGTGCGCAGCAGGGGGCCATGCCGTGCACAGTAGTTGAGGGTCGTGTTCAGAAAAGGAGTCCACCCTCATTAGGTTACTGAGGCAAGGAGGTGGGCTGTGTGCACCAGATGTCATGCACAACACTTCTTATCTGGGGGCTGGAGACTTCAACGAATTTCTAATAGAAGGATGCTGTGAGCTTAATGCAGTGGGAACTGACAGACTCGTGCTCTTCTCTTAAGATATTTATGGGAGGATGATTTGAGCTAGCACCGAAGTGAGAAAAGACTGACAGGGCGTACAGCCGCCGTGACTGGTCACACCAGAGGGGTTCTTCTCCCTCGGTTACTTCCAGGATCTCAGGCCTGAGGCCTACTCTCCACAGGAACTGGATGCAAGGGACTTCAACTCCTTTTTCAGGAGCAGAGGCTCTAGCTCCAAGCCTGCCATACAGCATATGCCCTTTCAGGCAGGGACGCCACCGCTGGGGTCTTGGGTTCTCGTCCTGGTCTGGCTTTTCTCATGTGCTGCTTCTGTTGTGTGACTGCTCCAGGCATTCCTCCTACTACAAACTGCTATATGGTTATATAGAAGGATTATATACATCAGCTCTAAATGTGTCAGTACAGCTCCGACTACAATACCTATATGATTATATAGAAAGATTATATAGAACTAAGTATGCCAGATATAAGTATTAAGCATGATTATATAAACTAGATATATGCAAGCAGTAAGTTATACTCCAGGCACTAATTCTATAAACTAATATATGATTATATATGAAGGATTATATAAAGGAAACAGCTGAGCAATAGCACTATAAACTAGGATATTCTTCAGGCACTAGTTGTGCCTGGGGTCTGAACAGTTCTCCTTCCTCGGTGCCCATGGGGGGTGTTACCCACATTCTGCCTCTCGCCTCATGTTGGTTTTTGCATTTCAGAGACCTCATCGGCTCAGAGGCTTGTTCCTCTGTCTCTTTGCAGGGCTATTTTGGACTCAGTATTCACCTAAGCCCTCCAAATTGTAAGTAACCCCAGAGGTCATGGAGCGTCCTGTGGCCCCTCCGTCTGGAGGCTGTGACCCCTCCCCCAAGGAGGAGGCACTCACATGCATCCAGCACCCCGCCCATTAGATTGGAGAAGGCTCCCTTCTTTGCCTTCTTGCACCCATCTGTCCACCTTTTAGCTTTACTTTTCTCCCCTGGACTCACACAGGGTCGCACGAACATGGTGTATAGCAGGAGGAGAGAGGTAAAGTGGAGGAACAGGGCCTGGAGGGGAGAAAGGAGGAGGAGGAGGGGGAAGAGAGGGAGCAGGTTAGAGAAGGGAAGGAGGAGGAGAAGGAGAGGAGGAGATGAGACCGAGGAGAAGAGGTGAAGGAGGAGAGGAGCACATAGAAAAGAGAAGAGGAGAGGAGGAGATGGAAAAGAGGAGGAGGAGCAGTGAAGGAGGAAGAGTAAGAGGACTAGAAGAGCAAGTGAGGAGGGGGGAGTAGGGGGAGAGGAGAAGAGGAGAAGGAAAGAAGGTGAAGGAGAGGCAGATATGGAGGAGAGAAGGCGGGGGAGGGGAGGAGGAGGAGAAAATGAGAGGGATGGGGGAGGAGGAAGACAGAAGAATAGAAGGAGGAGAGGAGGAGGGGAGGAGGTGGAGGTGGGAGGATGGGGAGGAAGGGAGAAGGAAGGGAATACCAGGATGAGGGAGGAAAGGAGGAGAGGTATAGGAGAAGGAGGAGAGGAGGAGGGGAGGAAGAGGAGGAAAGATGGAGGAGGAGAAAAGGAGGCAGGGAAGAGGAGAAAGAGGAGAGGAGGAGGTGGCAGAAAGGAGGACCAGGAGAGGAGGAAAAGGAGGAGAGGAGGAAGTGAGGAGAATGAGAAGCAAAGGAGAGGAGAGGAGGAAGAGGAGGAGTAGATAAGAGGGGCAGAGGAAAAGGAGGAGGAGAGGAGGAGGCGGGGGAGGGGTGGAGAAGAGAGGAGGGGAACAGAGTTGGAGGAGGTGGAAGAGAGAGGAAGAGGAGCAGGAGGACAGGAAGAGAGAAGGAAATGAGAAGGAGAAAAGTAGGAGGGAGAAGAGAGAGAGGAGAGCAAGAGAAGAGAGGATGAGGAGGAGGGGCGGGGAAGCAGAGGCCGAGGGGAGGAGGAGGAGGAAGAAAGGAGGACAGGAGGTGGAGAGGAGGAAGAGAGAATTAGGAGGGGAGGAAGACGGGAGGAGAGGAGGGGAGGAGGAGGAAGAAGAGGAGGCTAGAGCAGCCTTATCAGGCTCCAGTTCTTGGTGCACCCCGTTCTGGGAGACACTCTCCTGTGGTCCTCCCTGCCCTGCATGGGATCCCCACGCTGAACCTCTGAGGGATGCTGGCACCCTCTATTCAGCACATTCGCGATGCCCTTGCTGAAGCATGTGTCCTCAGGGCCCTCTCCTGAAACATGATCCTCCGGGGTGTCTTCTGGCCTCACCTCTTCTGTCCAGGTCCAGCAAGCTCACGTTGCTCAGCCTTTGAATCCCTTCCTTCACCGTCTGCAGTGACAATCCGGGCCTTTCACCGTCACTCAGGCATGGACCATCGCTGTTGCCCATGCCATGCCATGCCATCAACAGGTTTGCCCCATCCCTTCGGCTCCCTGCCGGGGTATTGGGTTGTGTTTAGCAGCAGAGTGTCTCCAAGTCCCTGACCTAGTCTTCGTTTCCAGCCCCCACCGGTTGAGCTGCATCCGGGTCCCATCCTGCAGGGACACCCTCTGCCGCTGCAGGTGCGTGCTGATCCTGCAGCTCCTCAGGGGTGTCATCCCTTTCCCCTTTACCAGGCCCGGCACATCCTGCCCACGCGGCGCAGTGCTGCAGCTTCCCTCTGGTCACGGGTCTGGCCGTCGACTCGCCAATTCCTCCAGCTTCCATGGGACTCTCCGGGTGTTAGCACTGCAAGTTCCTCAGCAAACTGGGACTGTCGGTCGCCTACCTGGCAGCCAGTGATAAGGTGAGGGCCACCCCTGGGAGGGCGGACACCTGTGGGGAACATTCTTGTGTGATTTATTTCTCCTTTGGGGTAGGGTGCCTGCACTGGCTCTTGCTGGGTTGATGCTGCAGACTCAGAAGTTTCAAGGGCATCTGGGGAGATTAGATATTCAGAGACCTTCTCCTAGATGTCCCTGTTCCATGTATCAGGGACGCAGCTTTCCCCAACAGGGCCTGTGTCGTTGGCATGACAGACCTGCCTTGGTTGAACGTTCAGCTGTCTTTGGAGTTCAGCCACCTTAGCAAGTCCTGGGTTTGTTCTTCAGAGTTTGCTGCTCGCCCATTGCCTGGATCGGGGGCTACTTTGTAAACCACCAGGAAGACTCCAGTGCTTCTGCTTAACTTTTAGACATTTGTTAATTGCCCTTGGCCTCTCATTAATCCCGTGTGGGTCATCCAGGCAACGTAGTCACCACCATCCACTCCCTGAGTTTCCGTTTCAAGACGTCCGCCCTGCCTGGGTCTCCTCACCTGCCAGGAACTTCCTCTCCAAGGGCTGCCCATCCCATCAAAAGTTCTAACACCAAAGATCTAGCAACTAGGCTGCCATTTTGTGCCTGTAGCCACCTTTGTGCCACCTATGCCCGAAGATGGGAACCTCGTTGCCAGCTGGGCAGTTGCAGGGTGATCCTGTACCAGGGCTCCATCTTACGACTTGCTGTCTTGGACCACTCTGGAACCCACTGTCTCAGGTTGGGTCCTCCAGGAAGCAGACCGTGAGAGGGAGTTGGCAGTGCCAGAGGTTTACCAGGGCTAACTTGCACTCAGGAAAGGGACGGGAAGGAAGCAGGGGTGGAGAGCAGGTTGGGCCAGACCTGACAGTCTCGAGCAGCCCAACAGGGAGGCCTGGACCAAGGGTTGCTCATTAGAAGGGCCTGCATTGGGCATGGGTGGTTAGGTCACATGGTACCTGGCACACAGCAGGCCGTGCACTCCAACTTAACTGACTGGATGAATTAATGCCAAGGAAAGGCGCTCTGGAGAGCGGGTATGTGCTGAGCAGCACAGGGAAGGGCCCAGCATCTGTCTTTGCACAGCCAGAACTGCGCTGTGCCCTGCAACAGGCCACGCGAGAGCTGCTTTGAGCTTGCATGTGCATTAGACAACTCTCAGAGGCACGAAGGTTTGCTGGCAGGGCGCCTCGTGACCTGTCGGTATTGGTGTGAGCACAGCCTATTGGTGTGAGCACAGCCTGGCAGGAGAGGGCAGATCTCGGCACAAAGTATCATGTCAAAAAGCAGATCGAAGCCCGGCCCCCTCCTATAAAAGGCTCCTTGAGGGTAGGTGCACACTCATGCCTTTGCTACTTGTAAGGCATGAAGGAATTAGGTGAATGGGAAGAGGGAGGGACTGCTCACTCTGGGCAAGGGTCTAGGGGAGGCTTCTCAGAGGAGGGGGTGTTTGAAGGTCGAAAGGGTTTTGTTAGGTAGAAAATGGGGGAGGGACAGCCTATAAGAGTTAGGTACATTCAAGGAGCCCAGAGAAGGTTTGTGGCTGGACCAGACCCATTTGTAGAGTGAAGTCGTGGGAGAAGAGGCTGGGAAACTAGGTTGGGTCCAACTCCTAAAGGCCCACTGAAGGAGTGTGGGCTGCACGCTGGGTGCAGCAGGTGAGTGTCCTTACTTGCGTTGCACCGTCGGCCTTTTTAAAAGGCAAACCATGGTTCTCTTACAGAAAAGAATTCATTGATTCACTCATGATGCCAGCAAGTCATCTGACAAACCTTCGTGTACTTCTGATGGGGCAGGAGTGTTTGTAGACAGCAGGCACACAAATATAAGATTCAGCCCAGTGCAGCTCCAGGAGCAGCCTTCTACAGATCAGTGTCTGGTTCCTCCAGCATGCTCCTTCCCTGCTGATCTGAACATTTGGGTAGTAACCTTAAGCAGTCTCCTGACTTGTCTCAGTCTCCTGACTTGTGATAATGTTTCCAATTCTTGTTCCTTACTGTAGAATGAAGTTTGGAGAGATGTCATTAGGTCTCTAGGTTCTGAGGATTACTGTGAGGTAGGCAGAGGGAGTGAAGCGTGTTGGGGCCAGATATTCCCGTGCTTCTACCAGAAAGTTGATTTGCCCAGTGTACCACCCTCACTTGGTGGGCATGAGCAGAATGGTCTGCCACTGACAACCCACAGAAAGAAGGTAGAGCACAGGCTTGCCCTGGTGGGCTCTTGGATGCCCTGAGCTGCAGCAGCATCCAGGGCCAGGTGGTACTTAGTAGGGCCGGCCTCTCACCCACTGTGTCTGATCATACTGCCTTTGAAAGAGGAGGGTGGGTGATGAAGACAAGATGATGAGATAGGGTGGCCTCATACCCAACTGGAACATTTGCAAATGATACATGGTGAAAGTTTAGGAAAGAGGCCACTTCGTTTATGAAATGACACTAGCTAATGTTTGACCTTAGTCATATGTTGCTTGATTCCTCATTTTGCCATCTGCTGGCTGACCCATACAAGTTCACTTTTAATTAAAGGTGGGCTGTGATCAGAGTCATGATCTGTGAGTGGCTTCCATGGCAGAAAGTTCTGTGCAGTTCTTGGGGGATGTAAGTAGGAGGTGCTAAAACTAATATGTCCATATGTTAGAAACTATTTCCTCTCTTCTTTCCCTCCTCTAACCATTCCTGCCTTCTTCATCTTTCTAACTTTCCCAAGGCATTTTACATCAGATTTCCGATATAGAACAATGGATGTTAAAACAAACCCAAATTCCTAATGCTTGTTATCGTGAAAACGTGGCAACACAGTTCACATTTTCTTTTGAAATGGCCTATACGGGTCAGCACAGGCATTAACATAGGAGCTCATTGTTTGCATCCTCTGGGTCCTTGTAGTTCATATGCTGGGCCAATGTATAGAGGCATACAGAAGGGCTGAGAATGTGGCCATGAGGTATGTAACAACAAGGCCCAAAGCCTGGGCTTTGGTGTCTAGCAGACCTGGGTTTGAATGTTTGTCTTCCTGTGTGACCTTGTCAGCTACTCGTCTCTCTGTGTCTCCCTCTCCTCTCCTGTAAACCAGGAGGCACAAATGCCACTCATGTCACAGGGCTGTTGCTGGCACACACCCTTGCACCTTGTGTTCTCTTTCTGGGATTCAGATTCTCAATAGTTGCTTCTACATTTACAGGTTGGAGATTATTCCAGAAACACAGATGAAAGTTTTTTTTTTGGGGGGTGGTGTTTCTCAGCTTTGAAAATTTCAGAGATTTCCAGCAGTGTTCAAGGGACTGTGATATGATCTTGGCAAAATCTCATATACTCTTTGAAGGATCTCAGTTATGCTACCTTGAAAATGAATTGGTTAGTCTGGAACATGGTTTGCGAGCCTATGTGGACAGAGAATGTCATTTTGGAGAGATACTTTCACAGGATGTAAGAGTATGAGTTGAAAGTTGGGTTTTTTTTTTTTTTTTTGAGACAGAGTCTCTCACTCTGTGGCCCAGGCTTGAGTTCAGTAGGACAATCTCGGCTTACTGCAATCTTCACCTGGTTTCAAGCATTTCTCCTGCCTCAGCCTCCCAAGTAGCTAGGTTTACAGATGCGTGCCACCATACACAGCTAATTTTTGTGTTTTTAGTGGAGATGGGTTTTCACCATGTTGGGCAGGCTGCTCTTGAATTCCTAACCTCAGGCGATCTGCCCCCCTCAGCCTCCCAAAGTGCTGGGATTACAGGTATGAGCCACCACACCCAGCTGAAAGCTATTTTCTTCAAGCCCTTGAAAACAGTTGTGCCGCTTCCTTTTGGTATCCATTGTTTCTGATGAGTAATCCCCTTTTTTGAATCATTTTGTCCGTATAGGTAAGGTGTCATTTCTCTCTCATTGCTTCCAAGATTTATTATTATTATTATTATTGTCCTTATGCTTTTAAAGTCAAGATCTCACTTCATTGCTCAGGCTACGGAGCAGTGTTGCAATTATAGCTCACTATAACCTTGAACTTCTGGGCTCAAGGAATCCCCCTGCCTCAGTCTCCCAGGTAGCTAGGACTACAGGTATGAGCTGCCATGCCTAGCTATTTTTGTTTGTTTGTTTTTATTTAATAGTTCTCAAAACTTTAACTCAAATGTTTTAATGTAGATTTCTTTGGATTTATTCTGTTTGGGGTTTGCTCAGCTTCCGAAGTCTGTAGGCTATGTCTTTTGTTAAATTTGGGAAATTTTCAGGCATTATTTCTTTGAATGATTTTTCAGTCTCATGCTTTTTTTCATCTCCCCTGGAACCCTTATGACACAGATGTGAGATCTTTGTTCATAGTCCCACAGGTCCCCAAATCTCAGTCCATTTTGTTTTCCCGTGTATTTTCTATTTGTTTTTCAGACTGGGAAATTTCTGTTCTGCCTTCAGGTTGACTGGTTCTTTACTCTGTTCTGTCTATTCTGGCAGTGATTCCTTTATAGCATTTTAAAAATTTTAGTTACGGTATTTTTCAGTTCCAGAATTTCCATTTGGTTCTTCATTATATCTTCTATTTTTTCTTTTTTGGCTGAGACTATTTTTAATTTGTTTCAAATGTCTTCTTCATTGCTCAATGAAGCATTTATATAATGGTTGTTTTCAATTTGTTTTGCAGATAAATCTGACATGTTTGTCATCAGTGTTGATATCTATTGATTGTGTGGTGTTATTCCATTTGAGATCTTCCTGGTTCTGGGTATGATGTGTGACTTTAGATTAAAATCTCGACATTTTCATTTTATATTACTAGGCTTGAGGTATTATTTAAACTTTGTTTTAGCTGACATCCTCTGACATCACTCCAGCAGAAGAAAGGGGAGGATTGCGCTATATTACTGCATGGTGAGTGTAGTAGTCTACCTTTCCCACATGGCCTCCATTGATCCCTGAAATGGGTGGTGGGGGCCCTTGTTTCTTCTGGGTAGGAGTGAACTTTTTAGATCTGATCTTGGGCAATTGTAATACCTCTGTGGCTGGGAGGGTTTGATATTATTCAGCACTGTATCCACCATTACCTGCACAGACACCTTGGGGGATGGGGACTTGCTATTGCCTAGCAGGGATGAAAGTGCCAGCTCCCTAATTGGCCACCTCCAACAGCACCAAGGTAGACAGGAGGGATGTTACAGGTTAGCAAGGATGTTACACTGAGCCCCCTAGTTGGCATTTACTGATATGTATGGAAGTGGGGATCAAACTATATTTCTGTGGTGTTTAACTAGAGTAAAGAAGTTTGCTGTCTAAAAGTTTCCTATTACAACTTTCCTGGTCCTTTGGCTTTGGTCCTTCTTTCTTCCCTCCATTCCTGCCCCCCTTTCCTCCCTCTTTTCCTTCATTCCTTCTTTCTTCTTTTTTCTGTGCCTGCTGACATTTCTGGATCTCAGCTTCTTCAGTTCCATGCCTGGTATATATAGGCAAAGAAAGAAAAAAGAAAGAGAGAGGGAGACAGAGAGAAAGGGAAGAATGGAAAAGGAGAGGAGAGAAGAGGGAAAGAGAGAGAAAGAGAGAAGGAAAGAGAGGGAGGGAAGAAGGGAAATGGAGACGATAGGGAAAGAGACAAAGAAGGGAAGGGAGGAAGGGGAAAAGAGGAGAGGGAAAGAGATGGAGAGAGAGAAAAGGAAGAACAGAGGAAGGGCAGAAGGAGAGGAGCCGGGAGGGAAAGAGTGAGGGGGGGGAAGGGAGGAAGAGGAAAGGAGAGGAGAGGAAAGGGAAACAGAGTGTGTGTGTATGCCCCCGAGTCTGATACAATGGGAGATATACAACTGCCCATGTAGTACAGGTGTCAAAAATGTTTACCCTGAACGAAGTCATGCAAGAAGAAACCAGGCTGTGGGACGCTGTATAAGACACCTGGCTTGGATACTTATAAAAACATGAGGTCAGGGAGATAATGGAGCCAGAACACGTAAGGCCACTGTGACGACTTCTACTCAGACCGAGAAGGAAACATAAGAGGCTCCTGGTGCCAGGCTGTGACATGACTCCACTTGGGTTTTAATGGGATCACTGTGGCTGCTCTGAGGAGGAAAACCTAAAGGGGATCAAGGGCACAAGCAAGGAGACCGTTTAGCAAGCTGTTATGGTACTTCAGCACAAGATAGTGGCAGTCTGGACCAAGGCGGTGGCAGGGGAAGTGGTGGGAAGTGGTACACACAGAGTCTGAATGGAGTGACAGGCTTGCTCACAGCCTGACTATTGCGTACGGAGTAAGAGAAAAACAGGTGTTGAGATGATTCCAGGATATTTTTGGCATGAGCGAGGAGTCCCATTTCTTGAGGACGAGAAGAGTGTTGAAGGAAAGGCTGAAGATGCAAGATGGGAAGTGTAGCTCCGGACATGTTAGACTGGCCAAGCGGGAAAGGCTGTTGGAAACAAAAGTCTGAAGTTCAGGGAAAAGATGCAGGCTAGAGATAAAATTTGGAAATAAACTGAAAGGCAGTACAGTTACACGAATTTCTGAATTGCTGAACACTTCCCAACAAAAGTTGTAGAAAAGATTCTCAACCAATCAGAAGATCTTTCCTAGCAAACAAAGGGCTAACATCATGCTTTGAAACTGTTAACCTTTCTGTCAATGACGTGAAAGAAGACACGGGCATGAAGTGCACACATAACAACTGTGCAGAAAGTAAAACTGGGCAGTATAAAGCAAGTTCAGAAAGCTCCAGGAGGCCAGAATGATGGTCCAGAACCAAGACAAATTTAAATAGGAATCAGTACACAGTACAGGATTTAGATGTTAAGGATGGATCAAATGCCTAAGTCCAGAAAGGGGGCAGCCTGGTTTAGTGTAGTTCATAGAAGAGGCACTCCAGAAAGAGCAAACGTCATACATCATGTCAGAGAGAGTACACAGCTTGTCTCTGAAATGCACTGGGAAGATCGAGTCGGGATAGAACTCACAAGAACCCACACAGGTTGCCCGCACATCCAGGAAGGGTATCTGGTCCAAGTGATATTCTGGAAGGGCTTTCTCACACGGAAACTTTTTGGGAGACAGAGACCAGGACAACCACGGGTCTAAATACTACCTTGTGACGAACAGGTGAAGGACTGGGGATTTCAGCCTGGAGAAGAGAAGGTATTGGTGGAGGGATGGGGTAGGGGTCATCACTGCTGTTTTCAAAGCTTTGAAGGACTGGCACATGGAAGTCAAAGTAAACTTGTCCTTCACTGCTGGGGAGGGCAGAGTAGAATCACCTAGTAGATTTCACAGATCTAGCGGTTCACCAGATTGACGAGCTATCAAAATGGAAAATGTACCCCCCACAAAGAAGGCTGAGTCCCTACCAAAAGGGTGTAGCCAGGAAATGGGTTCTGTTCATCTGTTATGGGGGCAGCCCCTTCCTCTAAGCTCTGGAGCAGACTCCTGTAGACTATACCAAGCCCTCCCCATCTTGGAGATGCACCTGATCCTTTGTCCATCATCACCCCACAAGGCTCCTTGTGGACAGGGACCATACTTGTCAGTTCTAGTTCTGTCACTCTGTCCTCACCCAGAGCATGAGAGATGCTCAGGAAGCATGTGCTGACCACAAAATATTGAGAAGAAATTCCAACACAAGGCAGGAAGGGGGGTCTGTGTAACCCCTCAGCCTGTGAGTCGATAAAGTGGTTCGCATATAAAGTAAAGGCACTCTTGCTGTCAAGCACTATCATTTCAGCATATTTGATACCTGGCTCCATCAACTCTGAGGCGGAATGAAAAGGGTCGACATAAGGGAAAAGCTTCTCATCTGCCTCCGGAAGTGAAGCCGTCCTTCCAGGAACGTAGAACATCAGCGGAACACGGGTAGCAACGTCAAAATTGCTGTACTTGGCCCATTCTCCGTGTTCGCCTAGAGCCCACCCTAGTTCATAAAAAGCACAGAATCATAGAAAATGAATAATCATCATACCACAGCTTGTTTATTTTAGAAACCATTTCACTTCCTGTTGTAAAAACCAGAGGAAGTAGAAACTCATCACCTAGAAGAAAAAAATTCACTTGGAATTACCACAGAAAGGGTAATTTCAACTGAATGCTGCTTTACTCAAAATCAGCTATTTGTCCTCAGTGAGGAAACTTTTAAAAAAGAAAACATGATTAAATTCCCAAACCCAAATATCTTAACAAACTACTGGCAATGAATGCATAACGCTGGTCTCTCAGGTGGTCCCCACACAGATGTGCCCCCGCTGCTGAGACACCCTCATTCTTGACCGGGTGGGAACCCTGAAACCTGTAGTGTCACCACCGCCCTGCCCTGTACCTACCGATCTTTTGACTCCTGCCCTATGAGGTCAGGTTTTCAGTTTTGGGTATGTGCCACCTAAAACTGAGCTGCGGAACTGCAACACAAGCATCAAACTCAAAGCGGCCAAGGACATCTTGGTTGATTTGTAAGACATACCATAGATAAAGTAAACCAAAACCTCTGATTCCAGATCCTTAACCCCGATTGAAAACAACTCTTCCGGCCTATTTAAAACATCCCTTGCAAAAGATGGTTTGAATACTCCAAGTTGGAAATGCCCAGTCTTTTAAAGTTACAGCACCCTTTTTGATACAAAAAATGTGCTTGACAGAAATTGGACACTGAGCAGTGTTATAAAAATAACCAAACACACCAATGGCCGCCACGGGTAAATTAGAGAAAGTGTTGAAATATACCGTTGCTGGCTCTGAGTAACAGATGACACTGGGGCTGCAAATGGTGTCCCAGCCTCCCAGGGTCTGTGGTCTCCAGAACAGCGCTAAAACCTGTTCTGAGTTGACAGTGCTCTCCTAAGAAGACCCCAATTTGAGAGGAAGCTCTTACCTACCAATCAATAATCAAAGCAGACTTGACACCCGTCAGAGATGCCCAGTGATTGTGGTGAACGCTTCCTCCCTCTGACTGTCAGTACTGGGGAGTGCAGCGGGAACTTTCGGATAGCTCGGTGGAGCTCAGGGAGAGAAGGAGTTCCCCCCCACCCCGCCCCAGTCAGTCAGCCCCGTGGGCCTAGGAGTAGCCCCACTGCTCGACCTCTCCACTCTCTCTGGGAGGACGAGGCAGCCTTGACCCACGAGGGCTGATGAACGGGTAGGTTATCGGCAGGCTCCTAGGGCACCAGCCTGGAGGTCACATTGTCCCTTTTAGATTCAGTGTGGCGGGAATCTAAAAGGTCGAGGATTGAGAAGCCTGCAGGATGGCAAAGTGAGGGACCCCAGCGGTGGGACCTCAGGAATCCACCCCCAGAAGTCTGACTGGGGTACCCGTGGAGGCTCTGAAGGTACAGCATTCAGGCACTCTTTGGCACTCTGAATACCGGCACACAGCCTTCGGCCTCTGCCAGCTATTGTGAGCTACCCCGCGCCAGGCAGAAGTGGCCCCTAGGCCCGGCACGGAGCCTAGCACATGGCACATGCTCCAGAAATAGCTGTGGACTGCCTGACTGCAAGATCGCATTGACCTATCTCGTGCCAGGCCTCAGCCTGTGCTGCTGCAGCCAGGAGCAAATACAGGGAAAAGTCTGGCTAAGGAGAACATGTGTGTGTGTGGGCCCCAAGGATCCATCTTGAGATCAGGAGGGACAAGAGCCCGATGACCTTGACAGGCAGCTCAGGAGGTTTCTGGCTCCTGCCCCAGAGGCCCGAGATGAGGATATGCCAACACAGGGAGGCCCAGGGAACGGTGAGCTTGAGGAGAGGTGGCCAGACCACCGGAGACACTTGTTAAAGTGTATTATCCCGTGCCCAGACCTCTGAGCTCCTGGGAGCA